GCAATTATCAAAATATCAAATGAATCGAAGATAAGACCAAAAAGGCAAGGAAAGCAAGAATACGGAAATTACTAGGAGAATGAATAACCTTCTGCACGGTCTGAGCAAAATCTTGGTAAAGTTCATTTAATGGTTCAAAGTAGAGCTCGTTCATGGATTGTATCTGCCAAGGAAGAAACTATATTGAAGATTCACTGTAGAAATCAATAACTACATAGCTATGACAGTTGCATTGCACAATTTGACCAAAGCATATGTTTTATGAGCCAAAAAAATAATTAAATGCATAAATTTAATTCAAACCATATTTTTGAATAAGACACCTTTTGATAAAGCTCCTCCCGCCAATCAACAGAACCAGCATCCTCTTTTTGTGCTTCGACATCCGTCGTTGCTGTAAAAGAGAAAAATACGCACGAATTAGGAGGAAAAGGGATGCTGCCCTATCAAGGTCTTCAACCAACCAAGATTCCAAATCGGTCTTTAGCTCCCTAATCCCTTCAAGCAACGACACTGAATCAATCAAGAAAGGAGAGGATGACTACGTTGCTCTTCCTCCAAATCTTGAGTCTGAACCACGTCCGCGAAGCAGATCCTCATCTTGTGGGAGAATCGATCCAATCTCCAATCTAGATATTGCAAGCCTCCACGGATCTCCTCCTGGAGACTGGTCAATCTTTTCTCGAGATCGTCGAGTCGGGAGTCCGTCATCTCGAGAGAAGAGGGAGAGAATGAGAGAGCGGAGCGAGGGAAGAGGCGGATTCGATATGTGGAGGGATTGGGCTTATATAGTGAGTAGTCGTCCATGAAACCTGACCTCAGAGTCGAGCGGGAAGCGGGAAAGGAAGCACGACCGGCTGAGTTGGCAAACTATTCGAATCCGTTAAAAGAAATATAAAATTAGTAATGGAGATCAAATAATAATAAATAAAATATAATTTTACTAAATAAAATCTTTTAATTATTAATAATATTTTTATTTTTTTTATAACCATTTAATAATCATTATTTCATACAACTCATCTCATCGATCGATCGATCATCCACACAAGCAACGACATTATAATTGTATTTATTATATCCCCTTCGATCATCTCAGGAATACTAATCGTGTCAAAATATTATAGAAATCGAAAGAGTTTGTTAGAATTAATTGAGAAATTGAGGATATTTACATCCACTATAAATATATTAAAAATATTAAAAAATTATAGAGTAAAGAATGCTTGCGAATAGATAAAAAAGATAAATAAATTTAAAATATTTTTTAGGAACTCAAAAATCAAAATTTCAAATACAGATCGGATAAAGGCTAGCATTAATTTCTATTTAAAAGAAAAAATAACTATACTCTTTACAAATATAATTTGTCAACATCTATTTTCTTCCTTATATATATATATATATATATATATATATCATAGAAATTGGAAGAGCTTGTTAGAATTAATTGATAAGTTAAGGGCATTTCAATTCATTTATAAATATTTTAGGAATACTAAAAATGTTTAAAATAAAATTGTATAGTAAAGAGTGCTTGTCAATAGAAATCTCCTTAATAATTGGGAATTCGAGTCCAACAAAAATCAAATACATAAATTTTGAAAAAAAAATGATAAATGAATTTAAAATTTTTTTGGTAACTCAAAAATCAAAATTTTGAATACAGATCGAACAAAGGTTGGCATTAATTTATTTTATAAAAGAAAATTAAATATATTCCTTACAAATATAATTTGTCAATATCTATTTTCTTCGTTAGATATATGTGGTAATTCATAATTATAATGTCTCTGACTATGTTTAGAAGGCTTTTTCTCTGTAAAACTTGAATGAGAGTTTCGACTATCTTCCTCAATATCAATTAACAAACAAAAATAAAATCCTTTGGTGTCCTCCTGCAGTCCATAATAAGTTCCTCTCTAATAGATGCTATATTATTGTAGCATTCGCCTCAACCCTCGCGTTGCCAAATCCTCCGAATGGGTTCACATCGATGAGCGAGAGAGTTTTCTCTCTCTCTCTCTCTCTCTCTCTCTCTCTCTCTCTCTCTCTCCTATGATTAGGACCCTAAATAGTCTTTTTTTACTAATTAAAAATCATTTTTAAATTAATTATTTATTTCTGTTTATATATTTTAAAAAAGTACTTTGATATCCTTATAATTATGAAAATTAAATATATAAGTTTATTTACCTTAATAACATCAGTTTTACTAATAATAACATGAAAATAAAATGTAAAAATATAATTTTAACTCTGTGGTGACGGATTATGTTAATATCGATATAAATGCATAGCAGTATCATTCGACAACTACATTAGCGTTGACGCAAATGTAAAGTAACATCGTTTTGCATCTATATTTGCATTGACGCAATTGTCAAGTGCCATCATTTTATAGCTATGTTAATGTTGATCTAGATGCCGAGTAGCGAAAGGGCCACTAAAGTAGATGTGGAGCAACGTTGATTGGCAATTACATTAATATCGACGTAGATGTAGAGCTATGTCATTTAGCATCTGCATCAGTGGCTCTTTCGTCACTTGGCAACTACATTGACGCCGACACAAATGCAAAGCAGTGAAAGGGCTACTCAATAGCATCGATGTTGCATTGATGTCAACGTTGATGTAGAGTAGTCCTCACCTCTTGTTGTTGCTCTCCTCATCCGCAACAATCATCTTACCCCTATTATTATCGTCATCTATCACCATCTATGTCGTCTATCATTATCAACTGAAACATTAAAATTATTTTTTTGTTATTTGATTTTATATTTTATCACTAGTAAAATCGATGATGTTAGAATAAATAAATATAGATATTTTACATAATAATATGCTAACTAACTACTTATTAACGATCTTTTTCTCAAATCTTGATTGCCTACTGTCCTTCCACTAGTGGTCGCAGTGTTACCTTGCGATTGCTTCTCTTAATTGTTTTAATTTTGTGTTTTTTTTTGCTTCCACATAAATTCCCTGAAAGAAGACATTGGCATGTAAAAGCTCAAGAACATGAGCTTTTCCGAGTAAATTGCACAACATAAATGATCTATATTATTTAATTTAGATGAGAAGCTATTTGAGAGAAGAAGAAAAAAAAGGAACTTTTATACGACAAAGTAACATGAACTATAGTTACAGAGAAGAACGAAACAATGATAACGACGACTAATTGAACCGATTGGAGATATAGATGATCCCGAGTTACATCCGAATTCAAATGGATCTCACATGAGATCACGAATCCTCAGCATAAATATTATTAGATATTTGGTAAATGAAGAAAGAGCTCTCTGTAGAATAAACATAAATTGTCTCACGTACATGGAGTCATCGTATGAGAAAATTTTATTGCAATAATAATAAAATCTTAAATCCTAATTATTTAGGATCCACTATATGAATATTTTATTGTTATTGAGATCTATTATAAAAGGAAAGTTTATCCATTATTAATTTGGAAAGAAAGAGACGTGATAAAGATTCTAAATGTATTCATATGTTAATGAAAAACTCAACTAGATACATTTCCTGTTGTTTTAACATCAATAGTAACATTATCATATATATCTTTAATAACACCAATTGAATTAGTGGATGCACATTTTTTCCAAAACTCACAATAATAAGTTTTTAAGAACCAGGCTTTCTCTAAGTTAATAAAATCATATATAAATTTTCTTTTCTTCTTATACATTTACATTAATTATGTCAATAAATAAATAGTTTGTATGGTTGATATTCCAAGAATAAAAACTAAATTAAATAGTTTTTATATATGTTTGTTTCAAGTATTATCCTACTTTTTATAACTCTTTTCTAAAGTTTCGACTTATGATTTTAATTTATTTATAATTTGAATAATTTTGTATGTCGCTTTTATTTTTGTATATTGATATTATTTTCCATTAGGATTTTTTTTAAATCATATAATTTTGTTAAATAAGTAATTTCATTGTCATTTAAACTTTTTCGTAGCTCAATAGGGATATCATTACGCCCCATATTTTTATTTTCTTTAATACATCATTTACTTATTAGCTATAATTTTATAAATAAATCTATAATTAGTAAATCTATCATTAAATCTAAAGCCTCTATGAAATATTTATTAATTAATTAATAATAATAATAATTTTGTATCTTTTCTTGATTTTGATATCATTAACAAGTATTTTTTTGATCTTCATCTTTAGTGTATTCAATATTACCTAAATACTTACATTTTATTTTCCTAACTTTATCAAATTGATATATTTTTCTCAATATCTTTAGTACATATTTTATTATAAAATTTATTATGTTTTATATCATGTCATGCTAATTTTTTAGCATATTTTTAGATTCTTTATATCTTTAATTTTTCTAATTTTAATAATTTTATTATTATTTAAAATATATTCTTTTAATAAAAATTACTCGTAACTTTCTCGCACCACCAACAATTTTCTTTTTAAATTCTCATCATAATTCAAATAATATTAATATTATCCTCGTCTAAATTCAAATTCTAATTTATGTTGTTAACATTAATATTAATATTAATATTATTCTCATCTAATTTGATACATCCAATAATGAACGAACTTCTCATTGACAATGTTAAGAAGGTTTATATTAATATTATTCTCATCTAATTTAATACATCCAATAATGAACTTCTCATTGACAATGTTAAGAAGGTTTATTTCAACGTACGTACATATAATACAGAAAGGTGCTTAACAATATGTTCTTTTTTTTTTGTATTAATTCGACAGCGAGTTTTAGACCACTGTCAATGTTGAAGAGTCGTTAGCTTTAGAACTTCTGTTACCATAACGCATGCTAACCTGGAGAAAAAACAAGCCTAACAAGCTGTCGTACATGTAGATTTCTAGTAACAAGCAGTCACACATCAACCAGCCACGCCTGTATCCAGTCACCAAATCTCAGAGTTAAAATAATAGTTTAAATAATAGTAGATTTCTTTTGACTGCATCGGAAAGGTCTGATCATGGATAGTTTCATACGTTCCATTGCAGCCATAGAGAACCACCATTGTTCCAATTACTCGATCATCAGAAAATCCAATAAAATCAAAGACCCAATGTGTCCTTATGACGACTATTGGATGTTCCCAGAAAATCTCATAAACAACTTTAAATGCCTCGAACACAAAAAACAAACATGACAAGACACCTACTGCATCAATAATTACTAAAGCTCCTCTAGATCTTGTTGAAGGCAACAATGTCGCAGCTCTGGATATACTCATTGCGGGGTTCCACGGTCAGTTCCTCTTCAATGAGGCTATCAACGGAAACGAGATCATCAACAATGGTCATCATGATTTGCAGCTTTTTAATTCCATAACCTACGGCCACTAGCTTAGCTGCAGTAAAGAGGCATCCAAGGTTAGTATATGAAAAATAAATAGCACCTAAGATTGAATTAGATATTCCATTGAGGAGACAAAAGCCGGACATGCTCCCCATAAGAGGCCTGGCATCTCCAGGCTCCGGACAGCTTCCTCTAACTTCTTCATGTCTGTCTCGTCATCCCAAGGTTTAACATCCAAAAGAACAGATGATTTTCCACCTGAAAAGAACACTAAGCTCAGTACCTGGAAGATTTAACAGGATACCAACTGTAAATATTAAGAAATGATGGCAGTAAGTGACATAAATTCAAGCTGTCTACACATTATAAAAGATCACTAGCAAGTTCAAAAAGGATTACTTTCTTTCTTCTTGGAAGAGGCTTTAACAGCAGCCTCTCGCTCCTCAGCTGCCTTCTTTTCCTCCTCTGTCTCATCACCAAAGAGATCCAAGTCGTCATCATCTGCAGCCTCCTGAAGCACGTATGGTTTAGATGAGTACTGCATACCATTGCATTCCGAGAAAGGCAAAACAAAAACAAATGCTGCAGCTATAAGATCAGTTGAAGGGGATTTTGACAAAATTATCCTCTCATCTAATGCAGTTTATATTTTAGAGAAGGGACAGATGAGTCAAGCCCATTAATTGTTTGGGTGACTGTCAAATATCGGAACCAAAGGTAGTTTCCTTTCTCAATTAAATGACTATAATAGTTTAGTAACTCTCCAGACAAACCCTTCCAGTAATTTGACTCCATCGTAGTGGTGTGGCCAATCAACAATTAAGATTGGAACATGGAAAGTTTGAGTAACCATCGCACCTAATCTTTTAACAAACTAGATAATGTTTAAGGAACATTTTGTCCTAAGGATCTTAAATGTATAAAGACTCAACAGATTATCTTAGCATACATAAAAAAAAAATTCAGAATTTTTTCTTTTCAGAAAAAGAAGATATAAAACAAAAACCCTAATCCAGTTCCTCCATTATATAATTTGCATAATTATTTCCATTTTTTACATCAAAGAAACAGGCTTGTGATTGGTTTTGCTGGAACTCAAAAACTTAGCTACTGTACCATCAAATGGCTTTTGCAAGAGTTCACATCAAAAGACAGAAATTTCATAGTGGTTCATCTTTATAAAAGTTACATGTTGGCGTTTGAGGTCAATGGTACAAGAGCAACAAGGATACGATTGACAAAAAATATCAGCAAAATCTTGGGAAGCAAACAGCAATATAGAGACCAAGGGCAAACTCATTGATTGATAATACAAATAGAATAATCACCCCTGTATAAGCTGGGATTCTTGTACAGCTTATACAAATAACAAAGCTACACATTTCTTTCACATAAAAAGCCTTTAGAAAAAACCAAAACCAAAATAATATTGCCAAACCCCTTTAGGTAAGGGGCCAATTACACCAAGCCCTCCATTGCGAGCAACCAGAAATATGATCATCAAGTCAATGAACCGTTTGCTCTGAGTAATAGGAAAAAAAAATGAAATAATAATTTGAAGGCTATATTCTAGCAATAACCATGAAAATCGACAATATATATTGGAATAATACCCTTTGGCCTACAACTAAACAAATCATGCTATGATTGGAGCGTGGACCAAAATCAGGGCAAGACCACTGCATCCATAATTTTAGCATCCTGTTATAACGTTGCAGCTTTTCACTCAAACCATTTGTTTTCTCAGTCGAATTTAACTTCTATAATTCATGTAGAGCCTAGTTAAATAAAAGAAAGAGGATGAAGGAAACCAGAACTAACTAACTAACCTTTGAAGCCTCAGCAGGAGGTGCAGGAGTTGGGTCTGCAGCTTGGCTCCCAACTTTCACCCCAAGAGCTTTACCAGGAAATCTGACAACAAACATGCCAATCATGAACAGAGTGCCAAAAGAAGCTTAAGGTTAAAATAAGCAAACATTGAAATGGAAAATATAATAAATATATTAGGAAAATTTGGCAGTATGTAAACTGATAAATATATAAGATAAAGAAATGACATCTAACAGTTTTATTATTCAGAGGAAAAATGACACCCTTTTGTCCCCTAAAAAATTGCTGCAAATGAATAGTTACAGCTTCTGGTGACCATTTTGATTTCCATTTTAATGGATAGCATATACTTCTTTAACTTATAAACCATTTGTATTAATCAACTTCTATAAACAATACCATTGGAGTTTAATATATATTGGGTCCTTTCCTGATAGTTTAAGCTCTGGTATTTAATGATAACCCAATCAAAATCTTTATCATGGCATCAGCATAAATTGCGAGTTTGAGTCCTATACTTGTCCCTCTTCATTTCATGTGATGTTCAAGGTAGTCCTCGTTTCAATTTCGCTTACACTGTGCACTTAGGTCTAATATCATGCATCAAGCTTAATTCAATTTGCACGTTTGAGGAAATGTTAAATAATATATATTGGATCATTTCCTAACAGTTTAAGCTTTTGGGATTAGTAGTAACTCAATTCAAAATATTAATTCTATATCAACAATAAAATTTGCATATACACAAAAGTAATTATGAGTCACTCACATGGTAGCTATGTAACATACTGTACCGTAACAATAACAGAACAGGATAAAAACAGAATAATAGAGTAATCAGCAACGGGAGTCAAAAGGGGAACTTGACAGTAAACAGAGATCTGGCTACCTAAAAGAAAGTTTTCGCACAAAAAAATTAATAGATGTTCAATGAACAACAAAATACAATTAAATACAATCAAAAGGTAAAATACAATTAAATACAAAATACAATTAAATCATCTTAAACATCTAACGTCCATCGAGAGGTACAACATGAGAAACTATAAAATACAATTAAATAAAATAATCAAAATGCTTGTCAAAAAAAATGATGGCAAGATAAAAAAATTTTAACCCAAAAAAAAAAGAAAAAGAAAGTCCTCTTCTGTGACATCAAATGAAGAAACATAGAAAACCAACCTTAACAGCACCGACAAAACATCAATATTAGTACATACAATGATAAATGCCCAGATTTACATCAAAGGAAAGTGCAACGAAAGAAAGAACTCGAGATCTCGACAAAGCGAGAAACTCACTAAATGGAGGTCGTCGAAACAGTATCAAGCTAACAAACCTTAGTGCAAGGATTCCGGACACGCTCTCATACCAACGGCACACGTTGGGAAACCCATCTCCCGGCTTCGCGACCGCCGCAAACACCCTAACATCATCTTTGCTGATCTGATCCCTGGATAATCACCAACAACAGGGTTAAAACTCCTTGGTTCCCGTAGTTATAGCTACTGAACTCTAGAGGGAATAAGATTTGTAACCCCCAAGATAGCAAATGGCCACGAAAAGGTCAAGACGGGAAAGTGAGTTCGGAATTCACCCAGAGATATAGGTTTTCCCGGAGAGGAATTCCTCGAGGGCTTTGAGACCGGCCTCGGTGTGGAGATCGGAGAAAGAGATCGCCATCGCAACAGCCTCGGACGCAAAAAAACCCTAGCAGCAGCCACCGATGGAGAGAAGTGACAAGCGGTGTCATTTATAGAGAATCCTAAAGGGATAATAGTGCATCCTTTGTGTTGTGTACACCAAAACTTACCTTCATTGTGATTGCAGATAGCGTGGGGCCCGTGGGATCGGTCTACACATGAACCCAGCGGTAAGTTGATATCCTCTCCAACTCATAATGATTCCTTTTAACCTTACAATTCCAGTTTCGCCTTCCACCGCCCTTCCTCAAGTGGGATCCACTCGAATGGATGGTCGAGACTGAAAGTCGATAGGAGGACCGCTGACATGGAGCTTGAGAGCGAGTATTGGATCCTTAATCATATTTCCAATATTTGTATTTCCAACGTAATTATATGTCATCCATTTGGTAAATATTCGTTCTTCTGATTGTTATCTATGTGCGATTGCCTAAAACGTGAGGCATCCTTGAGGTCAAAATGTGAACTTAGCTTACGTTACCTAAGTCGCGAGGTATCTTTGCGGTAAAAATGTGAACTTCTCTTGCGTTGCCTAAGTCACGTTTCGCCTTTACGATTTGCGTACACAAAGATCAGTCCATTTACAAACATCATAAGCATAAAAAAATATATAATTTAGATAAAAAATCGTCGTTGCATACTCTTTGGCATCATGGTGAAAGGATAAATGTTATCATAAGTTTTTTATTTTGTACAACTTTATAATTCTTAGAGTACGAGCGAATAGGATGAATGCTATCATAAAATTTTTATTTTGTACAACTGTAATTACCAGTCTAACTATGAATATATATTTCTCGTATATATATGAGTCAAATGTATATTTCTTTTTCATGCATTTGTTTGGATAAGTAACCCTTTAAAACAAAAATAAAATGTTTAAATTAACTAATCTTATTAGTAGAATCTACTCCAATTATTTTCTCGAGAACGTCTCCTTTCCTGTTTCTTAAGTGATTATCCCAGCTTATACCTGCATAATAAGTGGAGGAAGCAATGGCCGAAGTGGTAGGGCCCATGAGATCATCGTCTGTTGCACTAGTAATAGGACAGGTAGCTCTTACGGGTGAGATGCAGCAAGTAGAGAAGTATTTCTTCATTTAATGAGCATGAGCCCGTGGGTGCGAGTCTGAGAAGACTCTCCTCGCGTCCGCCGCGGCTCCTCTCCACGCTGTGGTCGTCGTCACCGCCGTCTCCGAGCCTCGTACAGGCCTTCGTGTTCCCCACCGTTCGATATCCCCCATGGCGGCGATCTATAGTCTCTTCATCATCAACAAATCCGGCGGTCTCATCTTCTACAAGGTCGGTCGGTGGGAGCCCTAAAATCCCTCAAGCCGCTTTTGTGTTCAGTGTGCTTTTTGATTCGATCCTTATAAAGATTTCTTGATTCTTGGCCGGGCTTCCGTTGGTAGGATTACGGATCGGCGGGGCGGATGGACACGAATGACAGCCTGCGGTTGGCGAGCTTGTGGCACTCGATGCACGCCATCTCGCAGCAGCTGTCGCCCACCACCGGTTGCGCCGGCATTGAACTCCTACAAGCTCACACCTTTGATCTCCACTGCTTCCAGTCCCTCACTGGTACTAACCCTAATCGGATCTGTCGTTATGCCTTTGAGATACTTATGTTCTACGTTTTGTGCTATTCATATTTTGTGAATTTTGATTTGTGATGAATGAGAAAGGACTTGTGGATGTGATTGCGAGTTTTGTTTAAGGCTAACACTTTGATTTAGACGATTAAGCTTGAATTGCGTAAGGAGTAGCAACATTTTGTTTTTGTTTTTGTGTTTTTTTTAAGAATTTGATATGAAGCATAATTTTTCTAGTCATACTTTAGTGCGTTGGATGTAGCAACATATGATGCGATTTTGTTGAAGCAAATGGTATATTCCTGGGAAAGGGAAGAAAGCACAGGATCAGATGATGTGCATGAGAATCAAATGGTATTACTGGGAAAATGAGGGTGGGTTGAGGAAAAGAGAACAAAGTGCAGGATCAGAAGATGTGTATGAGGTGCCCTGAACTTTTAGTTACAGATATTTCAATGATGGGAAGCTGAATTATTTTGGATCTTGAAATATGATTTCTTTAGTAGATTGAGATGAGTTGGACCATACGATTTCTGATTGTGTTAATCATGATTTTCTTTCTTATTCTGAGCAAGAAAGTATTATGGATTTGATGCACATAACTTTTTATATTAGTAAACTTTTGATTTTATCAAGAACTTGTGTTGCAAGAATATGTATCCAACTTGATCTGTGAATGAACGACTGATTGGCTTGAAGGTGCCTTTTTAAGGTGTTTGGAAGCTGTAGTCCTGACAAATAGTTACTGCAAATAAAGCTTATGCGTAGTTTTACAAATACGTGGTTGTCTTTAGAAACTAGAGCAACATGATGTAGTGTCCCACTTATTAAGGTTCAGTAACATGAATCTTTTCTTGTCATTTAACTCTGTTATGATACAATTGTTCTAATTAGGATCAATCACATCATTTTGTATGGTTTCTAATAACTTTTCTTTGGTCTTTTGATATAATTGGTTTCACTTCACCCAACTGGTGCATTTTCCGATGACTTTGATCTCACCAATCTGACCTGATCAGTCCTAATCTGATTTTTCAAGTGTGAAATTTTAATTATAATCAAAGAGACAGAATGATTCTACAAGTTCCTGATGCCCCTTGCATTCTAAAACAATATCTTCATCAATCTGTTCTTATTGAATAATAGATTCAAAATACCTAAACTACTTCGAACTTTTCATCCAAGAATTTTTAACATACTCTACTCTTGTGGTATCGTCGAAGTTGTGTTTCATAAACTCAGTTTTACTTCTACTTGGTCTATAACTTATAAATTCCAGTGTCTTTCTCTGTGACCAAACTTCAGAAGAAGAATCTTGATGAAACTCACTTTAATTAGAAAATATCATCAGAAAATATGTACCAAGAAAACCAGGTACCATTGTGACTGTGACAAATATACTGTTGGATTTCAGAGAACACCTGAAGTTTAATGAAACACTGAAAACTTTACAAGTTTTCCCCACTGTTCTTTATAGGTTTTCCTAAAAAAGCAAATCCTGTCATGGCTGCTATATCTTTTAGTCTGTCTTTGTCAATTTTATGGTATTTATACTGCAAGAGGATTATGAAAAAAAGGAACAGAAAGTTCAGGGAGAAAAATATTGCATAATCTACTGGTGTGTCAAATTTCAAATGATTCGATCTCATAGGTCAAATGCATAAATCTAGTGTTTCTGGGCTTTTTTTTTTTCATTATCTGACTGTTAAGATGGTATATCCTTTTAGCCTAGTGTTAGACTTCTATTAGCTGAAAAATGCTTTGGCTGTTGATGGCTCATAAAAAACAGCATGCTACATAGGATTTATTAAGCTGTGATCCGGGCAGAAACAAAAAGTGCTAGTACTGAAGTTTGTGTTCTATTTTAGTTTACTTTTTGTGTTCATGTCTGTACGTTGTTTTCATTGCCATGAATCACTGAGGTATGCTTGTGTTCATGTCTGTACGTTGTTTTCAATTTGCTTTTGACATACAAATATAGGTTGCAAATCTGAATGACTGGATCATTCGCAACCTGTCTCAAAGTTACATTCTGGTTGCTTAATATGTGTATTTGTCAAGGATAATCCACACAACTTTCTTGTACTTTGGCATTATTTCATGACACCAAGCTAACATTGTTATCTTTAGTATGATATGTTCTCATTCATTTGAATTCCACACTGCATTAATATCTGTACATTTTAAAAAAAATTTCCCCCAAAATTCTATTCCAGGAACAAAGTTTTTTGTTGTCTGCGAGCCTGGCACGTTGCATATGGAAGCTTTGCTGAAAGTGATCTATGAGTTATACACAGATTATGTTCTGAAGAACCCATTCTATGAGATGGAGATGCCAATTCGGTGTGAACTTTTTGATCTCAACCTCTCTCAAGTGATCCAAAAAGACCGTGTTGCCTTGTTAGGGAGATGAACAGTATTCCTGACTATAATTATGTAGTTTTCTTCTTCTTATTCTTCTTCTTCTTTTGTGTGTGGGTTTGTTTCATTAGACAAGACTACAAGTTAATTCCTATGGAATATTGTATTGCCAAACTATTTGAGTTTTCTCTCCTTACGTAAAAGGTAAGTTCTATTTGTGTTTTTTTTTGTGTGTGTTGGAAATATTTTCAAGATATTGCATCCTGTGATTAGCCATTCATCTGGGAAAACCAGAGAACACATAGGAAGGTGAACAGAAATAACATGGTTGGAGAAATAAATTGAATGCAATGATAAATTGAGTACAAAAACAAGTAAAAGATGTGCTCACAGAAGATGATTAAGTGGAATTTGACTAGGCAACTAATTCTACAAACTATGAGGAAATGAGATAATGTCAAAGGTCACAGACATGGAAGAAACTGTGAGATAGGAGTAATGGTGGAATGAGATTGCATAAAGGTTGAAGGATAAGCACAAATACCATATGTTGATCAAGAATAACATCTGAACTTTCTGTTTTGTTCATCTTGTTGGTATTTTTTTCCTAATGGATGGGAATATCATGAACAAATTTCTGTAGAAGTATGATTTTGCAACAAATTAATTCTGTAGGAGCAAAAACCCAATCCATTACTTTTAGTCACCATCTTTCGCAAGCTCACGAAGGATAGCTCAATTGGAAGTGGATCTGTCACAAGCAAAGCTTGTCGTCCCTCTGCATCTAATCCCATCTTCCTCCCACCATCACAGAGCCCCACTATCAAACACCTGACGCTCCCTGCGGGGGGGACAATGCCTGCCTGCCAGCTTCGCGTTCGAGGTCCGCAATTCCTTCTCGAACTCATCTGTATATGTCGTACATTACGACCTCAGCTGTGAGGTTCCTCCTCTTCGTCCGCAATTCCTTGCAGCATCGGTACTCCATGTCGAGCACACCAACTTCCTCGCAATGTCGTACCTCTTATTCTTCAATCTCACGTTGCTGTCCAAGTCGTCATTCCTACCGAATTCCCAATAAGGACATTGTAAGAAACAGACCTTAGGCCGGTCTCTGTAACGAGCATTTCATCGAACCAGTGGCGTGCAGCCGAAGCCTTGCTTCTCGCAGCAATTTTGGAGGACGATGTTGGTTGAAGACAGCGTTGGATCAAGCCGAAGCCGAAGCCGAGAAAGCTCCTGGCCCGGCCGAGACAACGGTTGCGAGCGATCGCAGCGAGCAGGGACTTGAGGGATTGGAGGGAAGAGGCTTGGCAGAGAGTTCAAAGCCGCTTCGCTGCGGGGGCGCCTTGGCGAGGTGGTAGAGGAGCGAGGAGTAGGCGGGGTAGCAGAGGTGGTCGGGGGTCGTCGTCCTGGAGACGGCGGAGGACAACGGCGTGGGCGGTGGATTAAGCCCCATCAGGAGAGGAATCGCTAAACGAACCCACGTGGGCTTCTCGGGTTCGCGAATCTCCAAGCGCGTTGTAGCATATCGTCACTAATTTGGAGGGCATTTTGTGGGGATATATTTATTTGCCGGCGTGTGGATGAGTTCGGGACTAAGTAGAGTTGAATGCGTCCGGTGGTCCTCAATTCTCCTATAGATACCTTCTTATGTTACTCTATCATTGAAGAGAAATAGCAAGAGGAGCTGAAGGAAATCAAAGTGCTTGGAATTCTGGTTTGCTTCTTATTGTACTTGAGGTCAGTATAGTATTCCCTGATTGGTGCTACGTTTCTGTATGTTTGATTTTATAACTAGCACGTTTATTGCTCGATGAAATGCTCATTGGAACATTAGTTTGATAAACCCTTTGGTTGACGGTTCTGGATGGTAGTGGTGGTGCTGATTCTTGCAACGGATCTAAAAGGGTGGAAAACTGCAAGCCATTTGTATATAGTTCATCATCTTTGCTGTGCCATTTGTGGTCCAAGAGACACGTAGGCAGGGTTTGATATGTTGCACTTTTTTCACAAGGAAGTGTCATTATTCGGTCAGGCACGGTTAGGCTTGGATAGTGGAAGGAAATTGTTTGATGAAATGTGTGTGAGAGAAACTTTCAATGAACTGGCCTGCTTTTTTCTTGACACATGGCTATCAATACTTATAAGATACAGAAAACCCATTGATACTGTTTTAACCTCTGATATGTTTTGTAGTATGCTTTGGGCAACATCGTCTGTCGATCAATTTTGCTATTTGCACTTTTCTTCTCTTACATATGAACACTGGTTCCATTTAGTACTAATACAGTAGTTCTGACATTCCATTTCTTGGCAAGCGAATTTGACTTCCTTGCCTTCACTTACAACTATAACTTGTTTGTTGTTTGAGAGGCATTTCCTGAGGACTTATCTATAAACTAACTCATGTTAAGATTTATCATATTATTCTTGGCTTGAAATTGCAAACTAAACTTTTGTTCAGGAACCATCTTGACTTTTCAGATTTCTGTATAGTTAAACCTACTATTTTCGTTCATCATTTGACATGATTGAAGTCTGGATTACTAGTTGGTATCAAATTAGTATGATCCACTGAAGGGAATGAGTATTTTTAGCTCTGCAAGAGAGACACCAAAATTCTGGTGCATTAATGACTGGTAGGTCTCGCTCTGCATATTCATAGTAACATGAAGGTTGTCAGTCTAAAAAGTCTATCACAAATCTCAAACAAGTTTATTCTGCTCAAGTCAATCTACTCAATCCTTAGATATTTTCTAGTGAAAGTGCTAGCACTATAGATGTTTTTTTTGGCTTGTGTTTGAAAACCTTTTCCTAGTTTGCTGATTAGAGAGCGAAACAACATCTTAAAAACATCATTGTGAAGTGGACACGCGGTCTCAAATGATGTTTGATTTTGTATGGATTGCTTTGCTCATGGTATTCCTGCTTTTTGTCAGCATTGTTATAATTTATACATTATCCTAAAGAACACCTCTTTAGATTTGATTCTTGCACATTATGTTGGCTAAGGCTGCTGTTATGCTCTGGATTTAGTCCAAGTTAACAATTATTTTTTCTTATCCTGTGAGAAATAATCACGAACAAGTTTAATGGTAAAAAATGAGTTGGTTCTCTTTGTTGATCTAAGTTTATATAAGAGTGTAAACTGCATCGCTTACTATTTTTAGTTAGTGAAAAAAAGTTTCTTATCTTTGCCCTGTGAATATAATTTGACTTGTTCTGTTGTCATTTTCTGTAAGACTTCTCTCTTAGCTTCCTTTTATGACAATTTTACTTTTGTGTAAAATTTAGGAAGTGTTATTATTGACAAAAATTGAAATATTTACAGATCACTCAAGTAATTCTTTTTCAACATAATGCCTTGTCTTTCTCCATTTCTGTTATCCAATGCCCAATGGCCGAGTGTCCTAGCCACTGTATCCAACAAAACATTTTGCAAACTTCCTTGCATACATGTCTCTAATTGGCATATGAGAGAGCATCAAAGGAAATCACATGCTTCAACATTTATCCAATCATCAGCAACTGTCCATGGATGTGAATTTGATGAGTCTGATGAGAAAGAAGAAATAAAGCTTAAATGGATGAATGTAGGACCTGATTTAACGGAGGACCAGAAGAAGGCTATTTCTCAACTTCCTTTAAAGATGTCCAACCGCTGCAAGGCCCTTATGAAGCGTCTAATCTGCTTTTCTCCAGATGCTGATGATTTGTCTCTCCTCTTGGCTGCTTGGGTGAAGGTCATGAAACCCAGAAGAGCTGATTGGTTGGCAATCTTGAAAGAAATTAAGAGGATGGAAAATCCTCTCCTTTTTGAGGTTCAGTGAGTTATATCTTACCTGTTTCAATTCATCAATGTATCATTTGTATTGTATCCCTTTTTTAATCTTATGTTCTTTTAACTTTTATGGTGAAAGCTGTCATAATTTCTTCAACGAGTTATATCTTATTGTTTCAATTCATCTACGTATCATTTGTATTTTAACACTTTTTTAATCTTAAGTTCGTTGAACTTTTAAAGTGAAAGCTGTCATACTTTGTTCAGGATTTGAACTGTTTAATCTTTGCCAATGACATCTTCATGCTATGAAATTAACCATTTCTCTTCATCATGGATTGACTGCTAGCCTGGTTTATTGCATCTAGTTTCAACAACTTTTTCATACTCTATTATGCAAAGTATAAGATTTAGATTTCCTTCTGCCTTTCAATTTCATAAAGTTGTTTGCTAAATCTTTAGCAAAGGATTTTATATTCATACAGTTAACATGTGTGATATAAATTCATAATTAGGTGCATCATTGCTTTGGTTTTAATTGTCATTCAGTTGAGTGACATTGGACTTTAGTAAGATCCACCGTTTTGGGAACTGCATCTGTTTCCTGATGAATTTTCTTGAGATACAGTGTCAGAAGAAAAAATGTAGTGAGCATCAAGCTAGATCAGGCAATATTCAGATCTACTTTTTTTCAGTGTCAACTGCAAATTAATATTTATGTTAGGAATCATCCCAAGTTTTCTTGACATGAATTTTACCTGGTACAGGATCTACCAATTTACCACCTTCAAAACATGACCACTTTTGTATAGAACATCCAGCCTAGTTTGTTATAAACTTGTTTTCTGATGTAAGATCACTTGCAAATGTTCGATAAGGTCCTTTTATAAAAAAAAGCCAAGAACTAAGAAGGGAACAATATAAAGCTTGCAGACTTTGTCGCAACTATTTGAAATTTTATTGAAAATATGCAATATGTGAATGATGTAATAATTTTAGAGGCAATTAGTACGGGTTCAATTTCCCTAATTAGGGGCTAGTAGGTGAGTTGCAAATGAAGTTAAGTACTGCTCAATCCCTATTATCATAGAGGACTCTTATAGGATCTCCCTAGTCTAAATTTGGAATTTGAATAATCATTTGTGAAGTATTTGTCTTTCATGGTCAATATGGATTAGCCATAACTACCCTATTTTTAGTTTTTAGTTCCTTATTTTAAGTGATTGTACCTATAGCTCATGTATCTTATTTTGACTAAGAAGTAAACTGCGAGTCTAACATGAAAAGAAAAAAGAAAAAAAAAGAATAGTTCGGCTAGATGAATCCATAAATGATACTCCTCTATCAAAACTTTGAAAAAAAAAAATCAATGTTAACGTGGAATGTAGTAGTCAGTCAAAACTCACTGCACACTGTGGATTACACGAAATAACTTACTAGTGAAACAATTGGTTCCAAAATATTAGGGACGCTATTTCTGGTTTCTTGGTTATCCTAGAAATTATTTAGGATAAGCTCGTGTTGTGTGTTAACTTTGGTTCATGGATTATACTGGCGAATAGATATGTAACCAATTTTTATTGTGTTTTGTGGTGTTCTGCACAAAATCTTTCCAGATGGCAAAAGAAATGAGAAGTGTATTCCAGAGATACCTCGCTTCTTTCATTGTAGTCTCTTTGTGATGGAACCGGCCATTAACTATAATTTCACTAATCTGCCAATTGCATCATGTTAGGTAATGGAATATGCACTGCTCGAAAATTCTTTTGAAGCTAATGTCCGCGACTACACCAAATTGATTGACCTCTATGCAAAGCAAAATCTCTTGGAAAATGCTGAAAACTCATTTCAGGCCATGATAAAAAGAGGATTCCCTTGCGATCAAGTTACACTTACTGTCCTCATTCACATGTACAGCAAGGCTGGACATCTCGATCGTGCCAAGGAAGCATTTGAAGAGATCAAGCTGCTCGGTTTGCCTCTTGACAAAAGAGCTTATGGCTCAATGTTGATGGCCTATATCAGGGCTGAAATGCTAGAGCATGCAGAGAGATTAATGAAGGAAATGGAGGAACAAGAATTTTATGCCAGCAAGGAAGTCTACAAGGCATTGCTTAGAGCTTATTCCACCAATGGCAATGCAGATGGAGCTCAAAGAGTTTTCAACTCCATACAATTTGCTGGAATAGTTCCTGACAGCAGGCTCTGTGCTCTTCTTATCAATGCTTACTGCATGGCTGGTCAGAGCAGCAAAGCACACAGCGTATTGGAGAATATGAGGATTGCTGGTCTTGAACCAAGCGATAGATGTATTGCCCTGATGCTGGGAGCTTACGAAAGAGAGAACAATCTAGATGCAGCACTCTCTTTTTTGATAGAACTGGAGCATAATGGTGTTCTGATTGCTGACGAAGCTTCACAAGTCTTGGTTGGGTGGTTTAGAAGGCTTGGAGTGGTGGGTGAAGTGCAGCAAGTTCTAAGAGAATTTGTTGTCGAGGGAGCTGGAAGTTTCACTCCTTATTGTAAAACAAAGTGATATGACACACGACAAAATCTTTTTCACATGTAATGTTTGATGCCACTGCATGATGTTCTTCAGATATCAGTAAACGTTATGTTCATCACATTTAGCAGTCCCCGACAAAGCCTCTTTATCTGTCTATAGTTGCATTCAGATGTAATGTTCTAAGAGAATTTGCTGTCAGGGAAGGTGGGAGTTTGATTCCTTGTGATGCTTGTAAAACAAAGTGCTATGACACCACACAATCTTTTGCAGATGTAATGTTTTATGCGACTGCATGAGGTTCTGCAGAATCATCATTACAAGTTACGTTCATTCTGCAGTCCCTAACAAAACCTCTGCATCTGTTTGTAGTTTCATTCAGGTACAGTGTTCTAAGGAAGGTGGAAGTTTGACTCGAGGAAAGAGAGAATCTTTTATAGATATACCAGAGAAATTTGGTTCTCACGTGTCATCAGGATTAATTATAAATTACTTCTCGTAATTAGTTATCTTTAACATTTTCAATCAAAAATTCCTATTGATGAATGCATATAACTAATAAAAAATATATAAAATATTTTGTCTTAAAAATGTATTGTGTAGATGTAAGAAAGAATGTACAAAAATATTAAGTTAATATAAAATTCAAAGATAAATTTTTCAGAAAAAGAGAGCACTAATTCTTTAAAATGCATAATTCAGGGAAAGCCAAAACCCAATTTATGGCAAAATTTCCAAATTATAATTAGATAAAATAATTAAATTAATATAAATATTACAAAACGAAATCATAAAAAAATAAGATATATATATATATATATATATATATATATATATATATTACTATAAATAATAAAATATTTAAATATTCTTTGAAGAGGACGGTTCTCATAGTGATTGTCTCGAACGGGCCAATTCCGAAGCATCCAGTCGCGAGCCATGGAGGACGACGCCCCCCGAACCCTAAACCCCGCCCCTCCTCCGCCCGACCACGCCCCTGCGCCACCGGTCCCTGCCGCCCTCGGCCCGCCCCCACCTATCGCTCCCATCCCGGTTCCTCCCGTACTCCGCGCCTCCGTCGGATCCGACTCCGACCGCGAGGGCTCCATCCCCCGCCCCTCGGCCGACGACTACGAGGTCTCCGAGGAGAGCCGCCTGGCCCGGGAGCGCCAGGAGAAGCTCGTCCAGGAGCTCCTAATGAAGCGCCGCGCCTACGCCATGGCCGTCCCCACGAACGACTCCGCCGTTCGCGCCCGACTCCGTCGCCTCGGCGAGCCCGTTACCCTCTTTGGCGAGCGCGAGATGGAGCGCCGCGACCGGCTCCGGTCCATCATGGTCCGCCTTGACTCCGAGGGCCAGCTGGAGCGCCTCCTCAAGGCCCACGAGGACGAGCAGGCTGCAGTGGCGACCGCCGGAGCTGCCGCCGAGGATGAAGGACCGCATCAGTACCCCTTCTACACGGAAGGATCGAAAGAGCTTTTTGAGGCAAGGGTGGAGATAGCCAAGTGGTCGGTCGCTAGGGCGAAGGCTAGGCTCGAGAGGGCGAGGAGGAGGAGGGACGACCCTGACGAGGATGAAGAGGCTGAGGCCGAGTTTGTAGTGAATCAGGCAGGCGGGTTAGTCCTTGAATGCAGTGAGATCGGGGATGACCGGCCGCTTTCCGGGTGCTCCTTCTCTCATGATGGCACGATGCTCGCCACGAGGTACCATTTAATCTTTTACATAGAACCTTTTCTTTTCTCTTGGGTTACTGAGGGTTAGTCATCTCTATCTTTTACTGGGGCACTGGGAAATTTGTTGGCTTCTTGTTCTATTTCTTGAGTTTGTTTAGAGTGCTAGCTAACCTCTGAACGGATAAATTTGACAGTATGGCTCTCATGTCTTAGTGTCTGTAGTTCTTCGGCATTCATATTGAACTTACAAGTTACTTTTTGATCAATTTCTCGTTGATGTCCTGTAGTTCTTTTGTCTCCTCATCGAATCAAAGAACAGATTCACCAACCTTTGGTAGATGTAGATGCAATGGCACAAATGCTACTAGAGGTTGTAGAGCTCCTCCTTGTTGAGAAAGCTATTTAGCTCAAGGCTGTAACGATCACAACCCCTGTTGGTCCTTGTCTATTAAGATATGACCCTCCTATCGGGTATTCTCTGATTCAAGGAGAATTGATCTGAAATGATCAATACCAACACATTGCCTTTAGAGTTTAGCAATATGTCATGTATGTAATATCTAAAGACTTCTTTTGTCTTTCTGCTGAAATTCAACATGTTAGATTGGTTCTTGACTGGGGGTGGACCATCAGGCCTGAAAATAAAGATGAAAAATTTACCAGAACTTCTTCTTAAAACATGCTGATGGGCTAACATCTTCGGTTTATAGCATATAAATGACAATCGAATCCAATGTAGCACGATATAGAGCTGTAATCAGTTAGCTGGAATAGTGTCAGATGACAGCTGACTTCTTTCACTTTAGGTGCTAAAATGTTATTTTCTGTACGTTACTTTTGACTTTGCAATTCCAAATAGGATAGAAGCTTAGTTTCTCCAGCTGTTTCAAGCTTCAAAGAAGGGTTTTTAGTGATGAAGAAAAATAAGAAGGGAAAAGAGAAAAATGATGTCCAGAAACAATGTTTTTTTTTTTTCACTGAACATGTAGGTGTACATCCATGCAGCCATATGTCCTTCTTTAACAGATTTAAGAAACTTTGTTTTTGTACTGTGTAGGACAGAGTATTAGTATCTATTGGTTAAACTTACCTAATTCATTCCGAAAATAGGAAAAATCTGATTTTCTGAAGCAACATATTGGGGCTCCTTTTGGCTTTCCTGATTTAAAGCAGTGTTTAAAATCCATTGCATAAGAACTCAGTCTTTGTTTTTTTCCAAATAAAAGATCAAAATATATTACTGAAGGATGCAATTTCAATCCAATTGGTTGCTGAAACCAGTGTCGCACTGAGATTTAAAAATCCTTTGCTGGTGCTTTCAAGTTTGTGATAGGTTTGATAGTCATGTGTAAGGGCTAGGCTTGGAAAATCTTTGGCCATGGCATATGTTGCATCAATGTGGACTGTAACATCAATAAGAAGCCATATATGTCAGTGCCCCTCTGTTGCCAACATGAATTCCATGTACTAAAGATATGCACACCAGCAATCTCTCTTTATCCTTATATCCTTTTTATTTTTACATAGCATGTTGATATTCCAAAGTCTTTTTCTTTGTCTTAGTAGTCTTCATTATCTCTCCTTTCCCCTTGCAGTGGTCCTTGTTGAAGTGATGGTAGTCTTTGTTGTTAGAAAATTATATCGGAAGGTGTTTTAGAGACTATAGTTTTAAACAGATGAGACTGTATAGGTTGATTACAAGTCTTTTATAAAGTCTCTGAAGAAAATTTTCCACATTAACAAGGAGTTGCTTCATTTATGCTGCTGTTGAAGATGTTAGTGCTGTTAATGAAAATACCTGTTCCTAGATCTGCCTACTGATGTGAATTTTAGAATAAAAGCATAGATTTAATAGTTTTCTGTTTGTTCTCTCAGTGCTTTTAGTGGAGTTGCTAAATTATGGAGCATGCCTCAAGTAACGAAAGTTGCAACTTTAAAGGGTCACACGGAGCGTTTAACTGATGTGGCATTCTCTCCTGTTGATAACCATATTGTAACAGCCTCAGCTGATCATACTGCAAAATTATGGAACACTGATGGGTCTCTTTTACGGTCATTTGATGGACACCTAGATCGTCTTGCTCGTGTTGCATTTCATCCATCAGGAAAATACATAGGAACTGCTAGCTTTGACAAGACATGGAGATTGTGGGATATTAATACTGGGATGGAGTTATTACTTCAAGAGGGGCATAGTAGGAGCATATATGGGATTTGTTTCCATCCTGATGGATCTTTAGCAGCATCATCTGGTCTTGATGCACTCGCTCGTGTATGGGATCTTCGTACTGGAAGAAGCATTCTTGCCTTTGAAGGCCATGTTAAGCCAGTAAGTAACAGGCACTTCAACTAGAAAACTGTTGTATTCTTCTGATACTCCTTTCTCATCATTGATGATCTGCATGCATGTTCATTTAAGGTTCATAATGTGATCATTTTCTATTTGCATTTTCATACTGTTGTAACTTGTAAGTATCTAATGTTTAGGGTCACGTAACAGGTTCTTGGACTTAGCTTTTCTCCTAATGGGTATCGCTTAGCCACTGGTAGCGAGGATAATACGTGCCGTATATGGGATTTGAGAAAAAGAAAGAGTTTGTATACAATACCAGCTCATTCACACCTCATTTCACAAGTAAAATTTGAACCCCAGGAAGGCTTTTTTCTGGCTACTGCTTCATATGACACTAAAGCAATGGTATGTTTCTCCTAGTAAATGAAACATTTTGTGGACATATCTTTTGCTTCTTTGTCTGAGTGGGGTTTCTGATTGGTATTAGGTTTGGTCGGCTCAAGATTTCAAGCCTATCAAAACTTTGTCTGGACATGAAGCTAAGATCACGAGTTTGGATATAACAAGAGGTTAGTAGCAATACTTCTATTCAAGGTTTCTAACAATCCATTATAAGACAATACCATACTAGTTCAATCCCCTATTGGTATATTGGTGTACCAATCATACCCATAAGCATCAGCATGTAAAGCAATTTTCTGTGTATCTTTTTGGTGTATGGCAGTGTATCTTGTCAACCTACATATGCCAATCCAGTATTGTTTAAAACTTTGCTCTGCTTATATTGAAAAATTCACTGAAGTAATTTTAAAGAATTTGGTTGTATATGCTTTTACCCTGGGGTGGTATCTTTTTGTTCTTACGCCTTTTCTTGCTTTTAGCAAATTATCTTGTCTCTACCTTGTTGACTTCGTTTAATGCTAGAGAAATTTTGATAGCGCACCTTGGGTTGCATGAGCCTAAATGAGCGCACCTTGGGTTGCATGAGCCTAAATCATGTTCCTACCAGAAATAAATCATGTTCCTACCAGAAATCTAGCTTTATAGATGTTTTTGTGAAAGTTTTGGTATGCTGGGTATTTGGTGCCAACTAGAGAGGACTGATATCAGGCTGGTAGTTGATTGTTAAACTGTGTTGTGCCTTTGATGGAGTCCTCTCTCTGTGCTCCATCGGCAACCCCAACCCATATAATTCAGTAAAGGCATGGATGATAATGATGGTGATTGACCATATAAGCTTTCACAAAGCCTCATGGTGTGGGAACACATTGTGAAAGGACTATTTGATTTAAGAAAATAGAACTGG